GGACGCGTCTCCATCACAGCTGCCCACTTTGTGGATCAAAAGCTCCCGGCCAAAAAGACTCATGCTGCCTCTCCCTCGCCGCTAGGGCCCCAGTGGTCCCAGCATCCGTTGGCCGTTCGCTTGGCATAGAAGTCCCCGGCACGCTCGTTCTTGTCATAAGGCACTCGCATGAAGTCCTGAATGACTCCATTCTTGTCATTCTTCCAAGTGTAGACATAGTTCTCCTGCTTCTTTGCAGGCTTGATGGGGAGCACGTAGAGACCGCTGGGGTGGGACATCTCAGGGTCGATGGGGTTCACCCACTTGGAAGATCCGGCCATTCTCACCACTGCGCTCTCCTGTCTCTTCGGCGCATATCCAGTGAAGCTGGGACCCCAAAGCATGCAAGCCAGGGCTCCCAGCACCACAAATCCGGAACCAGCCTCACTTGTGCTTCAGAACGTCGAGTTGGACTAGTGGAGGAGTGCTTTCGGGCCCCCCAAGAAACGGCCCCCCCGATCGATCGCCTCTCCCTAAAAAGGATCCGCGTGCGGCACGGTTTTTTTGCATCCAAGAAGCACGGCGGCTCATGGTGATGTGGTCGAAGAGGTGGTCGAAGCTGGCTGAGCCAAGGTGCTGAGTGGTGGGATCAGACGGATTCTATGGGCAAGTTCTGTGAATCGACACAGGTTCTTCCCTTGAGTCTGCAAGCAACTTCAAGATCTTCGCTGATATTCTTCGGCTCAAAGCTTGCAAGAAGTGACCATTCTTCCGGTAACTGCCAAAATCTTCAGTTGAAGTGCCTTCAAAGCAACATTCCAATGGATAGATTCTGAGACACGTCAATGGGTCAAAGCCCACGGTAGGTGCTCATATAAGATTTTGGGGGGGTCTCCTACTTTGACCTAAAACTCATGTCCCCCAATTCCAGCAATCTCTTCTCCGCAATCAGCGCTGGTCGACCGCTCAGCAAATGGCTGGAGCCTGGGCGGGAGAAGCGAGCAGCGAAGATCAATCCTTCTCGCCTTCCCGCCATGGTTCGATATACACTCCCGAAAACCAACAATGACCCTGAGAATGGCACCCTGAAAGACTGTTTTCCTTCTAAAGCTCGCAGTTTTCAGGGTCCATGTTAGTTTTGAGCGGGGTAAGCAATTGCGAGTCTCAAACCAAGCTAACATACTAATACTTCCCCGTCTCGTCCCACTCGGTCGGTCCCTGCACGACCGACACACCCCCTGCGGTCCCCACGCAGGAGGCGATCTTCGGCCAGAGCTCCGCGCACTCCTTCGCCACCGGGCCCTGCAGGCTTGACCAGTCCACTCCAAAAGGAAAAGGAAATTGGGGTTCAATGATCTTTGGGTTTGTGGGGATCCGTGGTGGTAGTCTTTTGGGTGGGGTCGGATCTCAGCCCAGACTGCAGAGTCCAATGATCGGATCAAACCGTTCATCGTCCTGCCTGGATGGCAGAACCTTTCATCTCCCCCTTGTCGTTCACGATGACGCCCGCATTGTCCTGGACCCCAGGAACTCCCTCAAGACGTTGGGCAAAGAAGGCAAATCAGTTCGTTTGCTGTATATGTTTCTCCAATATCCACCATGAAATGCAAGCCATGAATCGAACAAAAACCAACTGTACGAATCGGATTGTGCTATCTGCCACATCTCATTCTCTTCCTCCCCTCTCTCAATCCACGAAAGTCTCTCCTTGCCGGTCTCAGGCCAAGCCCAAAACGCCTCTGTAATAAAGAAAAAGAAAGTCTCAGGCCACCAGGGGTCTTCCATCTCGGTCAGACTCCTCTTTCTCACCCGTGCGTGAAGGTGCCCGTTCCTCGAAGTAGACGAAGACACCTTCACGCCTCCTCCAGGCCTTCTTCTGTCGGATCACCACCTCAGATCAGTTCCAAAGCACCGGAAAACCGCCGTCCAAGATCGCCGGAGACGGTTCTTCAAAGCAGAAGGGGCAGGGCCGGAGACGGGCTGGGCGAAGGGCAAACATCTTCAGGGTCTCCTCTTCTTCAGACTTCTCACCATGCAAAGGAACGAAAAGGGACTACCATTTGGCAACATGCCAAGATCGGGCCACACGAGCAACTCAGTTCTGGGGTCCCTGGCACCCTTGAGCACCTTCTTCCTCAACTCAGGCTTTCCCTTCTTCACACTGCAAAGCACCTCAGAACAAAAAGAATCCAGGAGGACACAAATGACATGGATGACATGGATGCATTACAAAAGCTTATATAAGACTTGTGAATGACCTTATCAATTGCTCTGAGTTGACAAAATCACCCCATCACCCCAGTTCTTCTGTCACCGAGGTCTCTGGCCAGGTCGCCCGGGGAGCAGTTTGGGAGCTTGTTCAAGCGTCCGCCGATGCCGATGACCTCGGCTCTCTGCTCCGCTCCGCGCCGGCGGGGGCGGAGCGAAGGCAGAGGTTCGGTTGAAGTGGGAACAAACGGACACCCCAAAAAGATGTGCTGAAATAGGTATAGAACTCGTAACACTGCTTCTTAAACCGCCCCTTCTTCGAGAGGAAGGAGAAAGAGACCGGCTCGGTCGCCCGACAGCGATGATGTAGAGATTCTTGGCTCCGCTGTTGTCGGCGCAGTTCAGCAAGGTCGCCACGCTGCAACCCTGCGCCATCCTGCGACGCAGAAGGTCTCGCGCGCCCAGCGACACGAAGCCAACCACGGTTGCTGCTCGGTCGATGGAATTCGCCTTTTGGTTAGCGCCCCAACACCGAAAAAGTATATAGTTATAGTAGTTATAGTAGTAGTTATAGTTATAGTTATAGTTATAATAGTAGTAGTTGTTGTTGTTGTAGTAGTAGTAGTAGTAGTAGTCGTGGTGGTGGTGGTAATAATGGCAGAAGAGCTAGATTTGGGCAAGAGTTGTTTTGGACCCACAACCTATTGGGCAAAACCTTCATGCACTACCCTATCACATCTGAGGGGCAACAAGTTGGAACCTTCAGACGGCGCCCAAAAACCGTTCGCCTCATCTTACATTGCTTCGCTGCGCGGCCCTTCTTCATCTTCTCCTCAGAAGCGATCTGAAAAGGCACCGAGTGGGTGGACGGAAGTCACGAATGGACCGGATCGCACCAACGACAAGGCCACCCGTTTTGTGTGCTCGACTTCACCCTCAAAACGGTGCAAACAAGAGACGGGCCTCGTACTCCGGCTCAAAAAGCCAACCCAAAAGTCCGGGACTGTGAAAAAGCAAACCCAGGGTCTCCCTGGCTCCGTTTACCGCCTTTCATTGCGCCAAGGCTCCAAGGACTGTGTTCGAACTTTGGGACCCCCAGCGCTGTGAGCCACGAAATCGGAAGGAACGTGAACACGAAATCCCAAACAACCCAAAGCAAATAAAATAGAGTCAAGATGTTCATGTAGAAGGTTGATGTCGCAAAAACCCTTCGTCAAACCAAAAACAATTAAGTTGACTCCAGTGGTTCTTGGACTTTGCGGAATAACTCTTTCAGCCTTGTTTGACCCTGTTTATGCAAAAGCTGGCAGAGGCCACTCAACCAAGTTTGCCGGGTTGTGAAGTTGGGGATCAATCGGTTAAAGATACGAACCCAAAAACCAATTGAGGACTCGTTGCGGCCACAACAGTAGGAAGTTGCGCGCAAAAAACAATCGTGACGCAGCAAGCCCAAGCAACATCAAACAGGACACGTGTGACAGTTGTTGAATAGGTAGAGTCCACAACGTGACTGACACACTCAACCACGTGACTCAACAAACTAAACGAAACCACTTCAATACTGGAAGGAAAAATGTGAACTGTGACGAAACAAACAAACAAACAAACAAACAAACAAAAACAGTAAAAATTTGTTGAACGAAAACATGCAAAAAATAATAAGAACCAGAAACCATACACGTCAGTCAGGTGGGCGCACAAAAACCACAGTGACATTGATCGTTTTTTTGCCACTCTCAAAAATGCGAGCGCCTCTTTTGGCTCTGTATTTGGGCCTGCGTACATCAGCGTGTGATACCATGCACATACGTTGCACACATGCTCCATGGCCCCAAAGTTTTTGTGATTTTCGTGGCATCATTACCCTTCCAACTTCTTGATCTCTTCATCCTTCTCAGCACTTCCTCCATTCATCGTCTGAATTCCCTCATGGCGTCACCATACTTCGGTTACTGTCTCAACTCTCAACCTGTGCTCCTCTGACATGTGTTGCAACACCTGATCCAACTATTGGTCTGTTTCTTCTGTAATCTCTTTGACTCACTCGTCGTTGTCTGCACGCATTGCCGCAAATTTGATGATGTTCCATTGCGTGTCAGTCTTCCCTTCATGTTCTTCGCGCGAGACTTCCCCGGGTCATGTTGTGATTTTGTTGGTTTTTTCCCGGGAGCATTGCGATGGGTTCTTCTGTAGAATTTGTTGCATAACATATCT